GTAATCTTTCTGCAAACATTGAGCATTAAGATACTGTGGTTTAATTGTGCTTTGTTCGCTACTTGTTAGACTGTTCTTTTGTTCCAGTTGATACTGTAAGACAGAGAAAAGAACGCGCTGTCACAGAGGAAGGAAGCAAGTTTCTACATTTTTGCTGAAGCACGTGCTGACATTCCTGATTTGTAAACAGGGAGGGGTTCTGCATTACTTGAATTGCTTTGCGTGTTGACAGTGATGACAGTTCTTACGGGAGAGACAGTACTTTGATCATGTGGGTAGCTGGATGTGAGGAGGAAATTTGCATTAAATTATTTGCAGATTATGTTGACATGAGAGAGCCACAGGAGTAAATGGTCAGGGCAAAATTCTGATTCTACTCCTTTTCTGGAGAAAGAAAAAAAAGGCATTTTTGCTGTAAATAGGATCAGGGAATGAATCCAAAATAAAAAACAAATGATTGCCTTATTATGTTAGAGAAAAGCAGTATAGAATTATTAAAAGCTGGCTGATCACAAGTTGATTCACAAGCAGTTGCAGCAATGCACCTAAGAGAAGCAATGCAGTGTGGTGTAGGAGTGGAAACTCTACAGGCTGGTGGAGCTGCCAGAGCACTCAACCTGCTAAACCACAGTCAGAGAAATCACAGTTAATTCAGCAGAGTTTAATTAAAACTTCTAAAGAATCCATTCTTGTGGTGGTCAGCTCATTTTGAGCTAGGGAAGAGTCATTTTCTTCAAGCAGATTGCCTGCAGCAATGTAGCAGAATACAGGAAATTCTTGTTTTAAGAATTCTCCATAAATTATCAAAATCACATGACTTTCTTAAAGAGAATATGAGTTGTTAAATGCGAGTTGCTAAAGGTCATGCAATTTTAGTATGAAGAGCTTGCTGTTCAAGAACTATCTTGTAATTTCTTGTTCCATTTACCAAATTGTTAGCCAACATATTCAATGCCTAAGGGAATCTCCTATCTTACTCGTCTTTCCTTCCTCGTAGCTTCACAGATTTCCGTGAATGAAACAATAGAGATTTCACATGCTGATTTCCTCAGTTTCATTGCAGCCATCTGGGGGTGATGTCACATATAGTCATTTGTGTCTAACTGCCACCTGATAGTGTCTTTTCCTTGGGGAATGGAAGTACATACACATCTACACACCAGCTCTGTCAGGGCATATTTGTACTTTAGACTCTTTTGCTGTCGTGATTCAGATAGAGACGAAACTAGTTCAGCTCTTTAGTCACTTTAGATCATTTCCTGCAACTTTATTCATCCTCTCTACTAACGTGAACACACAATAGGATTTTCTTCCCCAAGTTAGCCATTAAAGAGGTTGGATAGGTTGGGCTCTGTGACTCATGTTTCCTTGGTCTGACTGTATTTTTTCCTCCTTCTCCAGCGTATTCCACACTACTCTATTAGCATGCACAAGGTTCAGCCCTAAGACAAGTCTTGAAAAGGCTTTAGAAATTCCAGAGCTCTAGACTCACAGAAAGGTTGAGGTTGGAAGGGACCTCTAGAGATCATCTAGTCCAACCCAGGGAACATCCTGGCCATAAACCAGATTCAGCATGGAGGGGCAAACCTAGAAATATTGATATGACAAGAAGACCCCATCTAGCAAACAGCATCATGAAATATTATGAATATACCATTATTAATAGAACATGATTCATGATTCTTCATGCTCTGTATTGATTTAAAAAAAACCCTATCACAGCAAAATGTGATGTGATCAATGGTGGTCAATGTGATACTGCAGTGACTGTACTTTGAACCCTTGCAGAAGAGGATCATGTCATTCCACTAGCATTGTAAATGGTCAGTTTTGGTTATTGCCAATGCCGTATCACAGGCAGAAAATTAGGCACAAAAATGTGTATGTAATCCTTCCCCTTTAAAGATGTCAGCAACGTAAAGGCAGCTGCTAAATACACACAGCATGTTATGTCAACCAGCAGCAAGCCTTTGCTCATCAGTGTCTCATTCTGAGCCATCATGGACGTTGCCTTTATGGATAAAAAAACTAAATGCCAGTGCCGCAAAGAAAGCTCCTGTTTACTTCTTCCACTGCTTACAGTAAATGAAAAATTGCTCTTTTCATGTTCCCTTGATTACTTTATTGCCTTTTACACTGTCCCACGTGCTTCAGCAGTGAGGAGCTTAAAGTGTGTTGATAGTGGTACAACACTCTAGCTGAGCTGAACTCTGATTCGGAAGGAAGCTGTAGGATAATCCTGATAGCAACTCAGTGTTGGGATTTCCTTCCTCTGTGTCCTATGCAACTGGAAAAAATATATTGAAAGAAGGAATATTCTGAAATCTTCATAGAAATTTGCAAAAAAAATGCAATTTTGCATGAAAATTTTAAAAATGCAAAAATGCAAACTGGGAAGAGTTCAGTTGCAGATAGCTTTAATTCTGTAAGATTTGCAGGTTTTCATAATCCAGACAGTTGCCCATGTCTTGCTTTTTTATCCCTGTTAGAAATTCTGGGAAGCCAATACAGATATCAAAGGAGCATTAGGAGTTGAAGTAGGCTAAGTTTTATCTAAAATTGCTGTTAATTGTGTTCCTAGGGCACTTAAGCAAAAGCTTTTCACCTGCTTTTCCATTAATGTCGAAAGGATAAGAAAGCATGTTGATGTAACTCAGTTCCAGTGCTGTAGGCTGTAGCTAAGATCAAGCAAATGCTGTAACAATTCTTTTTTTTTCTAGCTCCTGTAATTGGAAGTTGCTAAAAGCAGGTCATTTCAAATAAGTGTAGGATCTTAGCCCAGTGATTGTAAATTTGCATCACAAATGTAAATCTCACTCAGTAATTGGCATAAATTTTCCATCTGAACCATTTATTAGCTCTACCACAACTGTGACCCACCCTGTAATAACTACTGGCTAGCATGTGTCATCTGATACTCCATTTTCTTTTACTTGTATTTTCTGTTCTTCTGGAGACACTTGGTTGTATTGTGAAGAAACAAACAGTCTGTTCCTTCTACCTCTCATTCATTCTGAATGGGAAAAAAAAAAGAGCAAGAAGAGAAAAGGGGGCGGGGGGGAAACCCTCTCATGTAGCTGATTCTATCCTTACCAGCTCTTTTCTAAAATACACCAACATGTAGAAAAAGGAAAAACTGCAGAAGATGGAAAAATGTCAAGAATCTACAAAAGAAAGTTATCACTATTCTTTTCAAATCAAGTGACTAATATTATACCTGCCTCTGCCTTTTTTTCCCCCTTTATATTGAAACAACAGTTTTGGGTTTTTTTTTTTTTTTTTTCGAATTGACCTAACCCATGTCAGTATTACTGCTCAATAGCTTTCAAATCAAGAAATGATGTGATTAGGAATCTTACTCTACCGATAGCAGGTACATATCTTAAGTATGAGTGTAGATGCAGAAGAAACTAAAGGCAATGCAGTATTGGAATGTTTACCCTGGCGTCAGCAAGCAGGGTGATTGAGTTCTTGACTATGCAAATACACAATATTTAAGTTACGGCCAAATACTTCAGTTTGACAGACTGTAATCCAAGACTTTACCAAGCTGGAAGATTTAGGATGTTTCAGAAGTTAAAAAGACATACGTAAACATGAAGTCATTACAGTGATTCAAGCATCTTAATCTTCTCTAAAGCAGATTAGGCTAAATTTAAACAAATGATGACATGCAGTAAAATTTTGGGTTTATGCATTATGTATGCTTAGTATGCACAGTTGGTATGTACACACCTAAGAACTGTCTTGGAAGACAGAAGAATTCTTCAAAAGTGTAAAGTTAAATCATTTTTGTAGCCTAAAATATTGCACTGCAAGATGACAAAGCTGTCAAACTCCTCACACTTTGCATAACCTTAAATGGCATTTTAAAAATAAGTGGAATATTTGAGAACTTCTAAATAAAATAGAAACACTAAGAAAGACTTCATCCTTTTATGTGAAGTCGGTTAATTGTATACAAAAATTTAGTTAGAGAAATTTGGTCTTCATTGTATTATTGTGATAGTTTAACTTGGAAGAACTGTGTAAAATAAAAAAATGCTTATTCTAAACATTAGATTTTAAAATACACTCCAGAATCCGTCGTTCAACATGTTTAATTCTGTCTTACTCCATATGTTTATTCTTTCTGCAAGTACAGCAGATGGATTCGGAACAGTTCTAGAATTATATTAACATCCCTATGGTGGTAACTTGCTTCATTACAGGAAAGACGATGCATCACCAAGCTCATACTCCAAGAAAAAAAAATCTTTAATGATGGCCGGCACCAGAGGGCTCTGAAACAAAGACATGATTTAGACTGTTCAAACAACAGAGGCAAAACGAAACAACAAAATCAACTCAGGAATGTAGTTCAGAACCTGAACGGTCCACTGAATCTAAGAAGTGGAAGATTCAGCTGTTCAGTCCCCCATCCCGTCCCCCCATATTACTTTAGCTAACACATTACAAGTCCTTTTTCCTAAGTTTGGAAATCTTGATAGAGGCAAACCTCAACCCTTCACCCATTTTTGCGTAGTTATTTCCATATTAAAAAATATTTATATTATTTATATTTATTATACATTATTTCCTTAAGTACATTGGAAATTTTCTTACAAGTTTAAATTTTCTTACAAGTTTTCTTGGCAGCTAAAATAACGGTTACTTTTAAAATGTGTCTCATCTAACGAGCTTTGTTTTTTTTGGGGGGGTGGAGGTGAGAATTACTTAAAAGATTTCTAAAGCCCCTCCCCCCACATACATTAAAAACAGGCAATTTCCACACGGCCCCTAAACACTATAAAGAAAATGTAGGAGAGGTAGCATCAGTTTATATTCACAGATGTCTTCAGGTAATGCCACCATCAATACGGCCAGAAGTATGTATTTTGAAGTTGTCTTTAAATGTTTTCTAAATCGATTACCTAAAACTCAAACTTACTCAAATATATTGAGTCATTTTACTGCACTCATTAAAAAAATAAAAAAAAATACGACAGGATATTAGATTTTTAATACTTACTATCTGCCACGGCTTTTTTCCCTGAAAGAAAAAAAAAAGTTGAATGTATTCCCTATTTACATTTTACACTTGAAGGTAATAATGATTTGCTGAGTATGAAAAAGTGCAGAAAATATACTTTTTATAGTGCATATCCTCATATTATATATATATTTTTAAACTGGCATGTTAATTAAATAAAACTTCATGTATTTAGTATTGAGACTCCTAGAGAAAGTGTATTTCTTTAGAATATATACCTACAAATTAGTACTATTAAAATATATACCATCCATTAGTACAGCATATGGATTCATGCACAATGTATGAATGTAAATTTAAATGATAAGAACACAGACTGCTTTAAAATCTGCCATTATAATTTATATACCTTGTTATGCATGCCCATTTTTCTTACTTTCTTGAAAGACTTGAGTCATAGTGACAAGACATAGATATAAGAAATAAATCTTTGCAAGAAGAATTGTCACAAGAGGTTGTGCAATCTGTATCTTTGGAAGTAATCATTTGAATTCTGAATAAGGCCATGACCAATCTGATTTAACTAATTTGAGCAGAGGTTCGGACCCCCAGAGGTCCATTTCAACCTCAGTTATTCTACAACATACTGTGCTATAAATATTATTTACATAGCGATTATGATCTACAAATCAGGATTTGTAATAAAGACTAACAAAGACTTTTTTATTTAAGTGAGGGCCATAGTAACTTACCGCCATATGAAATTTTGTAATAGACATAAGCCGTTAATGCTATGCCAACCCATATTTCTTGATAAACCGTAGTGTAGTAGAATTTCATGGCTCTGATCGACTTTGGAATCATGTTCTGAAACATCTGAAAGTTAAAAGAAGTTTTGCAATGGTGAATTTTTGAAATATATTCTTACCCGATATGCATATAGCCACACATACTTGGTACACACAGATATATATAACAGTATCTTAATGATTTAAATATTCCAGAACCTGCAGGACAAAGGTATTTATTCCAGGGAATTCAGAGTTTGTGCTGCAACTCAGGCGTTCATGCACGAAAAAACGAACAAATTACAGCTGAAGAGAGGCTTCAATGAAGAGGCTGTGGAGTATTTACTGAGCAGCAAAGCTGGGCTCTATTCCTGGTAGTGACAGCTTTTTTTCATGTCCTTCAAGGACAAAGTCTTTACCTAAGCAAATTAGTAGAAGTCCTTTAGCTACCAAGTTTCCTTCCCTCCCTCTCTCCTGCATAGCCAACACTTTTCTCCCAACAGTGGTTTCAACTAATTACAGGAAAATGGATGAAGTAACATATGGTCAATCATGAATTCCATTTCATCTTTAAAACATGTCCCACAGCAATAAGCCTATCAATGTCCTTTATTCTTTGCATTCAGCTTTGGCAAGCAAACCAAAGATGATTATTTAAAAGTATATCTAATAAATTTTTTCTTTTGTATGTACTTAAACATATTCACATACATTTGTGTGACAGTACATGGCTGCGGGTTATATTGCAGCCCACCTTGGTACTTCACCCAACATAATAAAGCCCAGGGAAAACAGCCACATTTGGACATCAACAGGAAACCAAAATGTCACTGGAAGTAAAAGCAGATTTGTCAAACTCTTGCTCATCTTCTATTACTAAATACAAAGCATTCCTTAGCAGGCAGCAGAAAAAGATGCAAGGGCAGTCAATGTCAATGCTTCTTGGAGAAATAATAATAAAAAAAGACTTCCTAAAAAACAAAAAGATCTTAATGGAGATGAAAATATGAATCCAACCAATCCACATTTATGTTCACTCCCCTCTAGGGAAACATTTTAATTAGATTTATTATTGCAAGCAAATTTCCCCAGACAGCGTTGTGCTGCCTGCTACCAATACTATTAAGATCACAAAGAGGAGGAAAAAAAAAATCCTGGTGCTTGTGGCTTAGCGGGAATAGCGTAAGGAACTCAGGAAAACCCATGTGCACACAGCAATGCACCGGACTCTCCTGTCCCTCCAGCCCGAGCGACCC